ATGAATTATCCAAAACCACGTTGATTTTTCGAACTGGATTTATTATCCCCAGTTGTTTAGTGTACACCTTCCAGGAAAAGATTTCATCCTGTTCTCCAACAGTGGAAGTCATTAACATAGAAATTAGACAGTATTCCTAGAGCCTAGTGCATAAATGGTGGTAAATCATTTAATCAGCTAATTTATTCCGCACCCCCTTTATGAATTATCCAAAACCACGTTGATTTTTCGAACTGGATTTATTATCCCCAGTTGTTTAGTGTACACCTTCCAGGAAAAGATTTCATCCTGTTCTCCAATAGAACATTTTAGTTCTCTTCCTGCTGTTTGATTGAGCATCTGAATCCATTTACTTTAACAGCATCTGGGATAGGCATCTTTTTATTTTAAATCCAAATAAGTCAGCTCCTTTGGTTACGGCTCTTTCAAAGACTGGAGAAAGGCCATTAACTTGCAGTCTGGCTGCTGCTGTGCTGTTTATAACATTTTCCCTTACAAAACAAAGAAATCCTGCATAGAAATATTCAGAGGGAATGCACAAAAAGGGAGTGGTGAGTGGTATCAAAGAGAGATCCTCATTCTTAGACCAATGCGGAGACTTATTTTTGAATTGATTCAGTCTGCTAGCCTTCATTACATTAGAAAAGCCCAAGAGAGGGCGAACACATGCCGTCCGAGCTCCTAATATTAGACACTCGTTTGAAAATGGTGCGTTCGTTTTTATAGCAGCACTTACAAAACCGTTTTGCCTGCCTGGTCCGTTCCTATTATTTCTTAGAATTAATTTCAGATGAGGCTTGTGTCAGGCCATTGCAAATAGAAGCACGACTCTCGCTTTCATAGGTCATCGCTTTCCCTCTCTCCTCCTCCCACCCCGCTTTGAACAGAACTCCTCCACTGCCACCCTCTGGCGATGCCTATCACTGCAACCGGCAAAAGGATGTCAGCTTGTGAAGGAGAGAAAACAAAAATGAGCGTTCTTGCAGTCTCAGATTTGGGCCCCATGCCGGCCTGTCAGTAAAAATACTCTGGAATTCCTTGCCAGTTGAGATCCGCTTCCATAGTGCGAGAAAGATCCGTTCCCCGCCAGCTCCTTCCTTTCTCATGCAGTTGCTCTAACCGGTGCGGAGGGGAGGACTAATGTTAACTTCGCAAAGGCCTGCCTCATCCTTCCTCGGAGACCACAAGGCCGACCCATTTGTCCAACCCCAGACGTTTGCACATCTAACTAGTTTGATGCAGTGCTCAGCACAGTGCGAATTACTGGCAGGCGGTTGGGAATACACAGATAGCCTGCTTGGCAGCTGGTATAAATCAGAACGCTGGAGGAGCTGCGCTGACTGATAGAACCTTCCTGCTTCTTACCCAGACTGCTTGGAAAAAAGAAAACGGCCCAACTGGAACATACCCGGATTTGAAGTGGGGAACAAATCCCGCCACCCCCCCTTGTTTAAAAGCAGGGGCTGGATTCAAAGCACATGTGAAATGTTATTTTGCTATTCGAGGGCCAAATACACCCAGAAGCAGACTTTAAAAACAGCCCCAATGAGGAGCGAGAAGAAACACTAACAGGAGGGTAAAACACGAGGGGAAAAGAAGCCAAACTGCTCCCTAAAATGATGCTACAAGCAATAGGCCCCAGAGTTTGTGTTTGGCGGAGCAGGAAATGTATTTATGCCAAAAGCAGGGTCAAGAGGCAGCAACCAGGCCCTGGGTATTTTGAAATGGAAGGGGTGAGCCATCTCCTAGAACTGCCAGCCGAGAAAAAATGTTGACAAAGACGTCACTCAGGAGGAAACAGACAGCTCGAGCGGCCAGGGCGTGCACTAAGGGGTCTGAAAAACTGTTTCCATCAGCCCAGCCTGGCTTGGCAGGTGGGGACGAATCTAATAAACCATCTTGTTAGTCTTTAAAGTGCTACATTGTCCTGCATTTTGCTTCAACTACCCCAGACTAACACGGCTACATTTCTATCACCTCGTGGGCAGTCGGCTTTCTAGCAGCCGAGGTTGGAGAAGTTAGGTGGGACTCCAACATGCCAACCAATTGCACAGCTCACAGCCAGTCATGGTGCCCCTACAGCAAACTTCTCCCTGTCCACAGAGCCGGCCCAGGGCCTGCGCCTCCCCCTCTCCCGCTATCCCCCCTGCACTCTGTCGGGGGTAGGCCTCTTCACTGCTTGGTGCAGCCACTCTGCGTGGGGATGTCTGGGCCCTAGCGAGGCAGGGGGCGGAGAATCCTGCGTCTCAGAAAGTTTTTGCCACAGCGGGGCTCCAGCAGGGTTTACTTGTATGCAGGGGGGAAAGTAACTGAAATGTTACAGGTACCCTCCCCCCTCCACCCTCCTCAGGGAGGACTCGGAGCATGGGGGGGGAGGGGTTGTGATAGAACAGGACCTGTATGATCATTTAAGCGTAGGGTCGAGTGCAGGGGGCTCAATGCAGAGGGTTGGGGCCTGTGTGGGGGTGCAGGGAAGGGCACCCCATTTAGCAATAAAGATTTTGTCCCAAGTCTCTTATGCATGGGGGGAGGGATGCAGGAGTCAGGGAAGGGGGCTAGGGTGTGTGCAGGGGGGTAGGAGGGCCCTGGGGCAGTCCCAGTTGCTGCTGG